GCTGCTCTTTGTTTCTGGGTCACTTCTTTTATGACAGAGAACAGACGACTTTGTGTTTCCTGTTTATTCAGTCAAACAGCCAAACAGCTTCCAGCTCTCAAACAAATCATTAAATACTGAGCACTACATGTTGAAAGTTCAATAGTGGACAATAAAGCGTTACGATCCCTACTGCTGTGAATCCATGTTGTAGCTGATTTATCTAAACATGATCAGATCAGATCAGCCATTTTAGAAGAATAGTTTCTCTTTCTGCTCCTCCTCTAAACTCCTCCTTCTTCACCAACCGTTCAGTCAAAGTCACATCGACGCTTTACTGTCGAAGCTGAATTTTCTTACATGTTTTGTGGCCAACATTATTTAACAGGGTTTATCTTTGAAGGTTAAATTGTTTTATCCTAGAATAAAACTATATTTAACTCAAACTGGTGGAACTGGAAGACGAAGAATGGCGACTCGACCTGCTGCGTCATGGTTCCTCGTTCTGCTCTCCCTGATCTCCGTCCAGTTTGGTTCTGCTGGTGAGTTTTACCTCAGATATGAAGAATAAATGATAAATAATGTTTATCTGATGAACCTCTGATATAAACTCTACTTTAATGCTGGTTTTAACTCTGTTCGTTGTTCTGTTTTAGATGGGGTTTTTTATTGTCACATGACCAAAACTGTCAGTTTCCTTGAATTTGTATAAATATTGTGGGAAACTGGAAACGTTGGTGACTAACCCAGTTTAGAACTGGTTGAACTGGATTAACCAGGATTTTTCCTGCACAGTGAGGCTGGAGCTGCTGTCATTCAGAATAATATCTCTGAGTTTTAATGTTGACGTTTGTTTTAAATTATTATCCAGCGTTTTTCTCAAAGAGGCCAGCAGGAGGCGAGAGACTCTAGAACATTATTACCTGGGTTTTAGACAGAAAAGGCCCACAGCATCACAGATACTCTACTGTACTTGAACATGAACTTCAACATAGTTTATCTACATTTTGTTAAAGGATCAATGCTTTTAGTATTATAATAACTGATTCAGAAAGTTTCATGGTTTTCAACTTTTTAAACAAATAAAATTCTAAGAATTGTGTCAAGTTTCTACATTTATTCCCCTTTATTATAACAACCCTAAATAAAATCCAGAGCAATAAAATGTATTCAGAAGTCAATTAATAAATAGTTTATAAGTACTTTGTAATTTATGTAACATTTGTTAGACCCAGTTCTCTGTAGAACCAGGTTTCACTGCAGGTCCAGCTGCAGGTCTTTATCCTTTGGTTTTCACCTTTTATCGTCTACAGACTAAAAACTTTCTGTCAAACGTCTCAGGCTGAGATTATTAGAACATCTGGAGCATCAGGTTTATGTCTTCTCACAGATTCTTAGTTGGATTTAGGTTAGAGATTTGACTAGGACATTCTAACACATAAATGTGTTTTGATCTAAAGAGCTGAGCTCAAAATTATTCATACCCAAGCAGATTTATATATTAAATGATTTTTGGATTGTTTCTGATAGGAAGTGAGACTAATGTATTATTTGAAAAATAATAAATATAAAATCATTTGTGGGATTATTGATCAGAGTTCTGATGTTCACAGCTTGGGACGTTGTTTTAGAAAAACCCTGCTTTAAACTGAACCACAACGTTTTCACTGTTAAAAACGATCAAAGTCCAACATCTGTCTGCTTTTATCTGACTTCTGTGTTTTACTTCATGAATTTTGAGAAGTTTTAGTATTTTAAACATCAGTCCAGGATTCTGTTTTTAGTCGGGTTCTTCAATCAATCAATCAAATTTTATTTGTATAGCACATGTCAGCATCAAGGCATTTCAAGGTATTTCAAGGTTTCTTATCAAACTTTCAACTTGACAGAAATCATAAATCACAGCCCTCCACCCATTCATACAGCTGAAACCATAAGTTTACATACACTGAATAAAAACACAGTGTATGTGTTTTTATTCATAGACTGTATGAATAAAAGAGGTTTTGGTTAAGAACCAAAACCTCTTTTATTTTAAATCAGTCATCAATATTATTTCTATTTGCTAAATGATACAATAATGACAGAATGAAAATATCAGATCTGTTTAGTAATGAAAATGAAAGAAGATGGATGTGTCTTTAGTTTCATGGTGTATAAAGACACATCCATCACCTGAACCATAAATCCGTCTCTGCCTCCAGTTTTACCCTCACTGTGGGAACCAGAAGCTGCTCCCTGACCAAAGTGTCTGTATGATCAGTGTGATAATTTCTGGGTCTGTCTGTGGAAAAGCTGTAAGGGATGTGAACACTAACATTGGGCTTTAGGAGCTTTTCTACAAACATGTTGTGTTAAAGCAGAGCTTCTCAGTTCAGGTCCTCAGGTTCTGTTGCTCTGCATGTTTTAGGTTTTTCCCTCTGAATAAATGATCTAGTTTCTCATGGACCCACCAGTTTTAACATGTTTCACACTGCTGATTTTAAAAAAAAAGTAAACAAGGTATTGTTGTGACATTGAGATTACAATAAGCTCTGTGAGGGCCCTCTTCTGGGTGAAAATGATAATTATCTATCGTGATTTCTTCCCGAATAACATTTTACTAATGAAAGCAGACCAACCAGTGTCCTGTCCTTGATGCCTCATCAGGGTTCCTCTCTGACCTCTGACCTCTGTGTTGTTTCCTCCACTGCAGGAGAGACGATCAGAGCTGAACCTGGAGAAAACGCCATCCTGCCATGTGAAGCTCCTGAGAAAAAACCTGTCATCATTGTAGAGTGGAGAAGATGTGATCTGGAGGGAAATGATCATGTTGCTCTGTATCAAGATGAACAGTTTGATAATGAGGGTCAGAATCCAGCTTATAAGAACCGAGTGGATCTACAGGACAGAGAGATTAAGAATGGAGACGTGTCTTTGGTTCTGAAGAACGTGACGACTAATGATACTGGAACGTATGAATGTAGAGTTGATGGGATTAAAAATAAACGCAGGAAGAGATCTCACCTGAAGAATGAACCCATCTGCATCATCAACCTGGTTGTTTCTGCTCCAGGTGAGTCTGACTGGATCAGAACCTCCAGCTGCTTCATGGTTACTAATGTGAGAGAGAAACATGTCAGATCAGATGTTTGGTTTTCTAAATATGTTGTTTCAGTTTAATCAGCTGGTCTGAGATCAGCAGGTGATGATATTCAGCAGATCAGACTAACTCCTGGTTCTGTTCTGCAGGGAGCAATGAAGGACAAAAAAAGGATGGAGGGAACGAGGAAGGACAACCAGAGAATGGAGGGACCAACACTGGACTGATAGTTGGTCTCTCAGTTTTAGCTGTTCTGGCTCTATTTGCTGTTTCAGGTTTTCTGCTCTATAAAAAACTGAGACGTTCATCACAGGAACAGAAGCAGCCTCCTGCAGCAGAAGCAGAACTTCAGGCTATGAATGTTGAAAACCATCCAGAACCTGAAATGTGAACATTGAGACATTCATTTCTAGCAGGAAGAGACTTTCAGCACTGAGAGAATATATAAAGTTCAGCTCAACTGATTCACTTCACCTGTTTCTATCAGAGCTTCAAACAGCAGAGAACAAACTGAATGTGAAAAGTTTGAACTGCAGCTCCTTTTTAAGGTTTCCTGCTGTCTGAACAAAATGATATATTACATCTAACCTTCTCACCT